CTAAACCCGAACCCGACCCGAACATCCCATTTAAAATACGACTGAACCCGAATTTTTTAAAAAATTGACCCAGTTAAGTCGAATCAAATCGAAACCCGTCGGGTTCGAGTCCCATATCCATCCCTAGACGTGTTGAGATATAAATTGAAAAATGTCTCTTGGCACAAGGCTGTTTGGGGAAAATAATTAATTCCACTTTCCTCTCAATCGACGCTGCTTTTGTTATTGAAATATTTGTAGCATGAAAAATCAATGATAAAACAGACCACTAGGGCTTTAAACAAACTAACGCTCATTGATTGATGAAAAATCCGTTTACGTTTATGTTTATTTATTTATTTATTAAACGAATAAATACGAATAATATTTTATGTTTGTTTAATTAAAAGAACAAACAAATGACTTGTTCTTTTATTTACATTCGTTTAGGTTTAATAATTTATTTGTTTATGTTCATTTGTTTAATTATATTTATATTTACATTCGTTTATTTATAATCTTTTAAGAATTTTTGTTTGATTTAAAATAAAGTTATATTTTATATTCGTTCGTTTGAGTTCTTTTGTGTTCGTTTATTATTTTAGCGAATGAATATGAACGGATACAAACAAACTAAATTACTTACGAATGAATACAAACAAGAAATTATATTCATTTAGTAGTCTGTTCGATTCGTTTACATACGTGCGTACAGCATAAATATTGTATTGATGTAGAAATATATGAATGAATAAAGAGGCCATTTACACTTTGAAGTTTCAACCCAGGAATGACAAAGTAAGTCCAATATCCGGGAAAACAAGCTGGGCCTGAAGAAAAATAAATCCTGAATTACCTTAAGAACAAAGTCATTTACCTACATAAAGGTTGGGCCCAGAAGAATATAATGACTGAGGGATTTGGTTTAAGAAGATAAACGGATCTAGCGGCAGAATCTGTGGTTTTATGGAGTACGGACCTGGAACCGGAAAGATTGCATTGCATGAAAGTAGAGTCAAAAGAAAAGACAAACTTAATGACAAGACTCGACTCACTCAAGGCAGTTACGGCGGAGGGTGACAGAGACGGCGTAGGAACGCCACTTGCCTTCGACCCACCTGCACATAATTAATATTTCTGAGCTAGTACAAACGCACACCCGGCCGGATCACGTGGATGAATAATAAAGAGAGAACATTGTATGCTACCAAAGTTGGACCAAAGATCCTCACTTTAGATTGTGGATGTTGACAACTCCAAACCTTAATTTCCTAAATTAAAAAAAAGTAGATATTTGCGTAGGGAAATAGATGTATAGATATGATCTGCAACTGTGCAGCCGGGCTATGCTGCTAGCCTAATGCATGCCTACCTGAACAGACCGTCAGCTCATATATTGTCCCATTGTCCGCATTTATTTACTGTGTTTTAGGTTAAAAGATTTCCTTCATGTTGGGTCTCCATTGATTTGGGTTAAATGTGTTTAGCATTTGATTAATAAGTATATTACTTTTAGTGCCTCAACCTTAATTGTCGAATAAAGGGATCCCATCCATTAGCTACATGAAAAAAGTGTACCGGGGGAAGAGACGGCGGACAGTGAAACAAGAGACAAATTTAGTTTAATGAACCAAAACGAGAGACGAGTGATTGCAATGAATGAGCAGGATGGGTAACAGATATAACAGTAAATGCCCCAAGTTATGAGAAGGAACCCATGCCTTTGTAGACTGGGACCTACGCCTACCCCGTTTGTCATGCAGTTTAAACACCCAGATTTCATGCAGAAACTTGGAGAGGAAGGGACTGGTGACGCATATAATATAGTAATGGTTAAAACCTTGGGGCCAACGTAAAATTGGTGCATCAACCAATGGCCCCTCCTATTCAAGTATTGCCTGGTTTGCTGGAGTTTCATTTACACAAGGTTGTTGTAACGTGCAGAAAACTGTGTAAAATAAAGCAGGGAGAATGAAAACATTAGAAAAGTGGGAAGAACTGTTTCAAAGTTGTTTTGCAGATCGATTCTGTCTCATAATGTCCATCCAGGTTCAAATAAAAAATCTGGAAATGTAGGAGAATGTCCTAATCAGAGGCAGGTAGAAGGGTGGAGAATGAGCCTTTACTTTTTAAGGACTCCCCAGCAGAAGCAAGACTTCGCCACCCATTCTCTCCATTGGCACATTCTGGAATTGGTTCACTTTCGCTGTTTTTGTATATATTTTCACAATTTTTATTTCACAAGGCTTAATTAACGTTATTGCAGTATTCTACCAATTATTATTGACAAATTACAAAGATATTAATAATTTCATTTATATAAATTTTATAAAATTATGATACTCATGTCACATCAGTCATTAAACCAAAAGTATTAATGGTGTTTTCATTTTTCAACAAGTAGTTGCTCACTTATTTACCATAGCGGGCGATTTATGAAGTTGGGGCAGTTAAAATTTTGGGACCATGAGTTGCCTCAAAGATCTCTGTCTCAGTATATATGAAAACATTTAAAGAAAAAAGGTACAAGATTGAGTTTGGAGTTTGGACCATTCAAAATTACGTGACAATGTGATACTGCAATTGCCCTTTGTTTGAATGCAAACAATTGGGTGTATCAATCTTATCTACACAAGATTACGAATCTAAGCATTCAGCAATGTGCACCCAAATCTTGTCGCTTTCAACATTTCAAATATTGCTACTCCAAAGCAATTTTCCGTGGAGTTTTTTACATATCTGATACCAACAAATATTATCATTAAACGACTTAATGGTGCTATAAAACTCAATTACTTGGGGAAAAAAGTAAAAAAGAATGGTGTAAATTATATGATCCAGCTCGTGCACAGATAAGATTAACCCATGATTGCTTTTCCTAATACGTACGAACTTTGTTTTCACAATTCCAAGCTGTCCAACAACAAGCATGTAATCATTTTTGTTGACTAAACTCTTAAAAAGAGCGGGGGCTCCTCAACTTTCAAGAAATTCATATTTCACAGGTTTTTTTTCTTTACTTCTATGTGAGCTAAAAAGCACAAAGCGTTAACTTCGCACGCTTTTCGATCTTTTTGACCATCAATCGCGTGTGAGCCTTTTGCTTTCTGTTAGTGTGTTGTGCCAGTTTTTCTCCTTTTATTTTTATAATTTTTTAATATTTTTTCTGTCTTATCAAAGGTTTGATTTAATTCGTATTTGACATTTTGACACCCTTTTTCTTCAAGAAGAAATGGTGTTTTCTACGTGATGGGAGTTGCTGTAGGGCATCTTGATCTTGGCTAATACGAAATGCAAAACACGAAATGTACAGTTAATAAAATCATTGACCAACACTTCTTTGTTTGATTCTGTCTACAGTTACTTGCTTTTAACTCGATATTATTATTATTATTTATTATTTCGGATGCTGTAAAACGCCTCCCATTATCAGTTTCCATGTAAACTCATCGTGAAATGCAGGTTTTGACAGTACACAGAATACTAACTAAATATAGATATTCGGTGATTAATTTCGTTGACATGAGCTTTGACAAATAACGCAGATGACACTTCATAATGCTTAGTCAGATATGTATATTATCTTTTTTTAACTGATCTAATGACAAACGCTAACGTATACATGTGTTTTTAAATAAAAGCTAAAAAAATCATAACTGATGTATTATAAACTATAATTTTATTGTCGAGCTTTTTTGTTTTATTACTGATGTATAAAATAATTATTTAATATATATAGAGAGAAATCATATCCTATATAGATTTATGCATTTTAATTTAAATAAGTGTATAGTATCTTACTTAAAGTTTAGGGTTTAAAAAGTCTATTGAAAATATGTTTTCACTCTTAAAATTTAATAAATTCATCTCTTTTTAAATTAAAATCATTTATCTATAAATGAATGTAAGGTTTATGTTTAAGAATTTAGGGATTAGAGTTTTAGATGGATAACTTTAGAATTTAAAAACTCAACATCTTTTAAATTTTAGTTTACACAATTTATATATATATATATATAATTCATTATTATATAACAAAAATATCATCCTTATTACAAGTAATTTTTTTTAAAAGTAAAAATTATATATAAAAAAATAAGCGTATGAATATGCTAAATAATTATGATATATATATTAATATAAGATGAAAACAAGAATAATAAATTGATAACTTAGTTGCATGTTGATTGAGTGTGGACATGACAGCAATGAAATAAATAATGAGAAGATAGTAATGCAGGCTCCAGCTTTTGCGGCACATATTCCTGCCTGTCAACTTAATCGTCAAGATTGCTATCCAACGCCACATATCCAAATTACTGATTCATCTCCACTGCAGTGTTCATACAGCACAAAGAGAACAAAAATCATATCCACGATCCATATTCAATCGTCCACAATTGGACATGGCCTCGCCATTTTATCTCCTTTTGTTTTACACTTTAATCCATGGAATTACGAAAAACTCATTTGTTTCTTTGGTTTTTTACAAGGACTATATAATATTTTATCGATGTAGTGCTTGACAAAGTCTTTTCCTTTGGGGAACTGTTTCTTCCGTTTTGAAATTATTAAGCGGGAATGACCCTTTTCCTTTCAGGAAAGCAGCAAATAAACCATGTAATTGAAATCATGGTTCAATGCAGATTGATGAATGTGTGACATGCTGTGGTCAAGATAAGCTCCCCTTTTTGCATTATTGAGAAACATTGAGCTGGTTTTTGTACTTTGCAGCTCCCATATAAAGCAGAAAAACAAGATCGAACAATTTACCATCATTTCAAAGAATTCCATCATTACGCCTCATTTAATCACCCCCTTTCTCCTCCATTTTGTAATGTCCATCATTCTAATAATAAAAGCCAAAAGGAAAAGGGTTCTTACAATTTGGTTACCAGAAAGATAACTGGTCCCCACCCTTGTCTTCCATTAATCCCTTATTCCCACCAAAAACTGCACCTAGAAAAGACATAATCAAAATCTACCTTTTTCCCCCTTGATTCCATCAATTTCTTAACTTTTTCTTGCACATGCAAAACTTCCTGTGTTTGCATTAAGCAAGAGATGAGGGTTTCAGGTATCGGTCCAGGCGGCGAAGAGGGACAAGTGAGCCATTGAGGGAGCACCGGGCCGCATCGATGTCGAGGGGAACCAACTAACACCATTTGTTGGAGTAACAAACTTCGATGCCGAGGGTGGCCTAGCAAAGAGCATACTGGACCTTGGTTTATCCGGGCTGCCATCTCTAGAGTTGCTTACGCTGGTCACCAACGAAGACGAGTTAGAATAATGACTTCCTAGCTTGGTGGATTCATTCACCATAGGTTGACTCGAGACCACTGAATCGACTCCATGCAGGGCTGCCGAAAAAGTGGCATCTCGATCATTTTCATTATTCATAGACTCGGGTACAAGTGACTCAAAACCATCAACAATTGGTCGCGGTTGCAACTGTGGTGTTTGATGCAGAACCATCTTCCAGTCCGAAACATTCCCACGGTTGACTAGGGTTTGAAACGTCTCACCGATGGATAGCCTGGGTGTATTGTAATCACCAACCTCATTGCTGGAATCGGTCTCTTTGTTTCGCCTAGCTAACTCCGCAGCAAGCAGAGTACTGCTGGCCATGATCCTCTCAACATTGTATCTACCGATGTCGAAATTCGTCACGGCAGTTGCACCCCGAAACTTGATTGCGGCAATGTCATAAGCTTCGGCTGCATCTTCTTGGGTGCCTGAGATGAAGATTGAACATAACCATCAAGTAATATAGACAAAGAAAATCTTTTGCTTGCACATCTTTATCAGCTCATCAGAAAAGCAGCCTTCAAAAAGTCCATTAAGATTGAAATCAGAAAAAGGACAATTTTTAAACAACTATCAGCCTTATAAAAGCATCACACTTGTCTAGCGACACAAGACTACAGAGAGGTTTTAAAAAATGAGCATCTTCAAGCTCTTTCTAAAAGATTCAAGAAAAATATTAGTTAACAGCATACTATAAACTTATGACAACTTACTAAATGTTCCCAGATAAAGGTCCTTGTTTCCAGCAACCCTGCCAATGCGAGCCTGCCACCTTCCTTGCTGATGATGTCTACACGAACAAATATTAAATGGAATCAGAGTACATTAGATCACAGAAAAAAGAAGAAGAAAAAGATGAGGCCCAATATCATTAAAGGAAACAAAACCTAGTAACTCCTCTGAACATTGAGGCCCCTCTCGAGAACCCACTACTTTTCCTGCAAGCAAATGGATTGTAATTAACCTATCACAGACGGAAATTGAATTTACATGAAAATCAGAAACCAACCTCCGTAAATGGGCAACATATTCCTGGCAGTTCATGTTCTTCATTTCTTCCAGTTCTTCACGGTAATTTTCAAGCTTCAAAGAACCAAAAGAGAATCAAAATTTATCAGGTCGAGTAAATCCAGATTATCAAATATAAGCTGGAAACAATTTCTTTTACCGGAAAATTTATATGCGTGGAAGATCCCCAGTACTTAAGAGCAGCAAGATCATAAGCTCTGGCAGCCTTATCTTCCATGTCATAACCCCCTGAAATTCAGAAGCAACTAGATCAATAACGATTACTAATGCAATGCAATGTATCAAATAATAATTTATTAAGAGAATGCTTACCTAGATAAACTGAAAACGTATGAGTTGATTGAAAAAGCATCCACGAAAAGGGCGAACATGACAATTAGAAATCAATAACACAAGTCAGGTCATTAAAACCGATGGACCAACAATTCCAGTCAAAAGAACAAATACACCCAAGTGGATACAGTAAATGTGTTTGGTTTTTTGTTTAGACAAACCTTGCCTCCCTTTCCTGGTTTGCCCTTCTTTCTTGCAACTGTTGTCCCACAGATGAGCTTCATATCTACCCGTCCATCTATGTCTGGTGGTCGACATTTGACAAAAGTGAATGGCAGAACGAAAAGAACACTAGCTATGCAGTATCAATGGAAAAATGTATGAACTGACCTTGTGACACCCCGATACTGGGATGTTCTTTGTCCAAAAGTGTCAATGGACTTCCTATGAACAGTTTGTTTCTGACCCACCTTTCCAGGCCCTCTTTTCTTTGTTTCCATGGCCACACATTCAGTTGTAGGTTGTGAAATCTGCCTTGGAGCTGTAACGCAACTGGATTGGGAACCAGGACTCATCGACAAACTTAGGGACTGCAAGTCCCCCATTGGACCGACAGAGCCGGAAGCTGCTCCATCATCGACCATGATACTAGTCATCTGTTGTTCCATTGAACCACGGGTAGAGAAGTGAGAAGGTACCCAGTTTTTAAAATAAGACATTGTTTCTTCTCCCAATTGAGGAATCTGGGAAACACAGTCTGCAAGTTGGGTATCCTTGGTTTCCTCCTCCAATGGCGAATGAAACATGGCTTGGCAGGCATGTCCTGAAAAGTAGGGGTGAGTTTTAACAGAAAACTCTTGTTCTTGCTCTCTAAAGGGTTCTTGGAGAAGGTCCAGAGAATGCTGCCGGTTGTGTTCCTGATTCGCATCTTGGTGGAAGTACATGCTGTCTAAGCTGAGAGGCATTGTTTCTCGTTGGTGACTTCCATATTGATGAGGGTCCATAGTTGCACCACCCAGAAAGTCCTCCAATTTTGGAGACGAAGTAGGCACAATCCCTTTAAACAAAACAAGCATTGAAAATACAAGTGTTAGGACTTAGGACAAAGAAAAATATCAAGAAAACTTGGGGAAATTTTGTTATGAGAGAACCTTCTGACTGTGATCTATTGCAGAGAGCTTCCATGATGCATAAAGAGCCGTCTGACTTAAGTGGCATAACAGACAAAGGAGCGTGAAAGGCTCCACTATCACCAACCCCATAGCAGATTCCAGAGCCATTGAGGTGAGAAGACAAGTAGAAGCTCGTAGGAACAGCGGCAGAAGCTTGACTATGATGAGGGTACTGATGATGACGGTGTTTGGGATCAGTAGCCACCTCCATATACATGTGGGGCGAATGTGAGAAACCCAGCCAGTTATTATTGCTGCCATTGTCATTCTCGTTCAGAGACTTCATCTTCTTTTCCCTTTCTCTCTCCCTCTGTTGCTTTTCTGACTCTCAAGTTTACAGAAGTTAAGAGTCCTCGCTGCAAGGCAACTCAATCATTGAAGCGAAAAGAAGCTAATCATACTGCAAATCACTTGCCTCCCTCCCAACATTTTGAATGCCCCGGGACTCTTTAATCCATGCACTTTCACAATCTGTCAATAGAAACAGAACTGGTCTCTTTAAAAATCAACTCCTCCTAGCAATGTTGCATATATATAGTCTTTTTTTTTGTTAACTTTTTTCTTCAATAGTCTCTCTTAAACCCTTCAAAAATCTCAGATATAAAAAATACCACCAAAGCCCCTTCTGCATAAACCAACAAAACCTCACTTGGGTTGCTCAAATGCCCTCTTCCTACCTAGAGAAAAATAGAAAAAGAAAAACCCAGAAATAATGACCAAGATCTCTCTCTCTCTCTCTCGGATATTGAAAACAAAAACTAGCTACTTGAATAAGTGACCAATAGGGAGAAGGGTTGGTCAGACAAACGAAACTGGGTGGGCTTAAACTTACAGTCACAGATCCTTATATAGATTTGAAGGGCAACACACTGCCCTACTCTCTTCTGTGCCACTCTGCACGCTGAAGAAGATCCAATGTTTTTTGTTTGCCCCTCCCAACTTAAATACTGCTCCAATTTGGTTCACAGCTTTCTTTTCATGCCAAAAATATAATATAAAAAAAACTCTCAATACTTGCAGTATGGACAAAAAACTACGCAAAAGCTAATAGTTCTACCAGTAGTATTTAGAACTACGGAATAGTACGTACTTTTCCCTTTCAACTATGACCATAGATAGATCACAGCCTATTACCCACCGTCGATTTTTTATTTTTGATAAAGAAAGCTGCATTTGAGTGAGTCATCTGATATGACATGTGCTGAACTCGCTCTTTATTCATCTGACAGCAATCACCTTTGGCTCTCATCTTCAATTGTGATGCTTGGGTGACAGGGGACCGCCCAGTTTTCTTTTAATTTAAAATGAATTTTTTCGTTATAGCTTCCGTGATGGCAAATAATGCAGGAAAAATTAGTCCGAAATGCAGACTAATGAAGCACATGATCTACTAATCTTCCTGTGCTCACTGCTATTTTTAATTTTTTGCAGCAATTAATTTGTGGCATACTAGTGCGAGCAATTAGGGAAGGAAGCAGACGATTTTTAAAATTTTAAGAAAGAAGATAAAAATATATTATTAATTATATTTAAAATACATTTTAATTTGAATTTTTGAGAGGGGGAAAAACATTTGCCTTAAACGCTCCCTTTAATTCATCCCTGTGAGCAATTATAGATTACAGTACAGCTATGGACGGAGGGAAAAATCGTCTTGGCGTTAAGTTACTTGACACCGCTATCATTGTTACACCATAAAATTAAATCTTACTTACTATTTTGTTATTCGATTATTTTAATTTTTTTTATTATTTTAATTTTTGCCTATATATAAAAAATATTAAATGTACAAATCAATTTCACGTTTTTATATGTTATTTATTTTGATATAAATGTAAAATCAGACAGTAAGGATTGAATATTATTTTAGTGGTAAACTGTTTTATATTTTCAGCTAGACTTGTTGAACTATGATCATTTATTTGGCTGTTAGAACGTAAATGTGCAAATTAAGGAGGAACCTCGTATCAAACAATCTTACCCGATATGTCATTGGGTTTAGAGCTCATCACATACATTTTGACTGTATCAGAGATTAATTCCGTGAAGAGTCCTCAATCTATTGCCTTCAAATTGTGTCCGAAATTTCAAAACAAATTACGTATTAATATATATTCAATTTTGTCCTAAACCAAGTGTTGTGTTATAAAATTTTATATATCTTTACGAAATTTTGTTTTCTTGTGTAGATCTTGTATATTCAAACAGTTCTGTTATTTTTGTGTGGTAATGCTAATCTATTTCTTTAGTGTCAATTAAAGGATGTATAATAGTGAAACTCAATTCTAAAATTAAAATAGAAAAATCTCAATCTGCTTTTCTTGTAGATTTTGTTGTTGTTGAAATGTTTGGTCAACACCTACTCCAACACAAAAGGAGGAATGTGAAACCCTATTTCTTTGAAATATTCCAGAAATGATGAGCAAAGGGAATTAAAAAACCGTTTCTTTATTTCAAATATTTTAATATTTAAAGAATTTTTCGTTAAAAATAAATACCTAATATTTTTGTCAGTTATATTTTTAGGTGTATATCATTATATTTTTTAATTTTTTTTAATAATAAAAACATTATTTTAAAAAAAGATAAATTTATTTTTAAAAACAAACAATTTTTACTGAAATTATAATAAAACCCCTAAAAATTGAAATTTCTCATTTCAACCCATTATCAACCATCGTCAGCCATCTCCGACCATCATAGTCTCTACTTAACTATTGGATTTGTAACACCCCAACCCGTACCCGACCCGGATACGAGTCCGAGGTATCACATTGACCAGTCAAAGCATATACTTTTATAAAAACCATAGAAAATTTAAAACGTCTATTCTATAAAGTAGTTCCTTTACATAAATACGTTTAAAACCTTAACAGACTCCATCAGAGCGTACATATTTAATGGCTTAGTTTACATGCCAACATACTATTTTTCATAACAAAACATACTTTACACAATATTTCTGATATGAACTTTGCGCAGAGATATGCTGCTTTACGGATCCGAAGCATGATCTTCTGACTTAACCACACCTATGTATAAGACACTTACACGCTAAGTCATAGACTTAGTGAGACATGTAAATGCATGAAGTAAACTAACAAATGATTGAACATCTTATGTAATACACATTATACTTATATACCTATTGAACCCATCACTTATATGTTTATCCTTACTTATTTCCTTGTCATTAATTCAATTCCATCATATGAGCATATATTGAACATAAACATATAATATAACTTCAAAACACAACAATACATGAATAATTACTATGATCATATCATACATAACCATATAACATCTCATATCACCATTATACATATGCTCTTGTTACTCTTATTATCATATTATCCTAACTTATCACTTATACATATCACGTATCACATGTACCATTTCACGAGAAACACACATATCATTATATCAAATTATGTTTTCTTTTCAAAGCCCATGTACACTATTAAGAACTTAAGGTATGTGAGTACATAGAGGTTGTGCACAATGCTGTCACCACAGCTTGTATAAATCCCACTAGGGGCGCGTAGAATTTGTCCCGTAGGACCACTGTGTCACGAAGGACCATTGATAATCCCTCGACTCTTGGCATGCCAACTATACCTATAGCTCTCATAACACATAACATGGGCATTACCTTTTATATCTTTTCACATATTCACGTAGGCACATAGTTCACTTTCACATAGAATATTTCCATGTAATTCACATTCACTTATCACATAGCTCTTCATCTTTACTTGTATTCTTTTTCACATAGCTCATAGTCATGATTCTTATCTCATAACACATGTTTGCATGTACATATTCTCATACAATCCCTTCATTCGGTTATAACATTTAACCTAGCTTATTACATTAACATGTATTCACAACACTTATTTAGCATACATAGCATATCATGTAACATTCTAACATAACACATATAAGTAATATCACTTTCACGTATATTTCATCTCATGGAATCACGTAATCTATTATCACACATACATACATTTACATAGTTCACATATAAAGATGCATTTAATCAATTAAACATATGCATTTACTCATATACAATACATTTAGTACCATATCGCTATATGTTTATGCTTCAGTGCCCTTAATCACATAATAACGTAATTAGACTCATCGCAAGTCTTAATTCCCTATACATAACGTACATTTAATATCATGTACTCAACTAGTTTCCAATAACACTACCAAGCTCTTGCTCTTTCTTGCGTATCTTACTCTAACCACCTATTAGAACTTTTCTTTCGACCGATGTCTACACAATCATATATTTATATTATCAGTATCCAATTGATATACTATAATCTATCACTTCTTAGACTGAAAGAAAGATTTATTTCATTTCCTATTTAAGTGCATCGGTACATTCTATAGTGTATCGATGCATCCCTTAACATTTGCATCGATGCACTACCCATGCATCGATACACAAATCACCTTCGATGTTTTCATTTTAAGGGGGAGCATCGGTGCACTCCTTATGCATCGATGCACTAATTGCATTCGATGTTTATTTATATGAGAGTGCATCGATACACATTGAAGATGCATCGATGAACACAACCCAAAAATTACATTTTGAGCCCGAAAATTCTTACTTTGTCCTCAAATTCTACTTATTAACCCCTCCTTATGCCTTAAAACTTATCTATACATATGCAAACCTTCTTATAACACTATAACACTTCACCATCTCTCATAATTCACCATAATTCTTGAATCAAATAATTACATCAAATTTTTCATTTGTTCTTAATTCAATTCTATCACCTCTAACTTCTTAATTAACCCTTGACAAGTCAAATCCATCCTTAGAACTTCAAAACTCTTTCTATAACAAAAGTTCATTTCTAAACTCTTAATATAATTTCCTTTGTAATTCTCTCCTCTTTGTGTTTTAAGCTTATATAAGCTTTACTTAAGCTTATATAACACCCAAATAATCAAAACCAACTTAATATTCAAGAAATTAACAACTAAAATCAAACTTACCTTTAACAATGGAAGCCAACGTGAAGAAGGAAGAAGAAGAAATAAGTTTTCCAGAAAACTCTCCCTATCCCCACGTGTTATCTTCCTAAATAAGGGAGATAAAAATATCCTCCAAGCCAAATTACCAATATAACCTTATAATCCTTTTATATTTACCCTTTATCAAATATTAAAATATTCTTATTAAATCCTTAAACTTTTCAATTTTCCTAAAATAATCCCTAAATTTAAAAAAAAATCATTTTAGTCACTGACCCGGATTTCGAGATGTTACAGGATTTTTATTAATGGGAAGGGAGAGGGGAGACACAAGTGTTTTTTATTAAATGAAAATATTTGTATTTTTTAATTTTTAAAATAAATTTCCAAAATTATTAAAATGTGACACGTGTCACTTAACAAATATTTTTTAATGGCAACTAAGGTACGAGCATCTAAAAATGTAACATTTGAAACATTAGATACATAATTTTAACAAAAAAAATTAAAACACTAAAGTGTTTTTTTAAACATAGTTTAATGGAAAAATGGCCAAATAATGTGGTTGGGAATATTTAATTCCCAACATAATGCGGTTGGTAAATTAATTCCTCATATAGGGTGATTTATACAGTATAAGGAGAAAGACTCCCAAAAATCTCGGCGTCTTCAGGTAAAAATAAATTCTCCGGGAGTACTTGGCGACTTCAGGCAAAAATGAAAACTTCAGGAACAGGCGGCGTCTTCACCTCTGAACCAGCTGCTCAAATCAAATCCACGTGATACGGTTGCGACCTGTATTGCTTCAGTTACATCGTTATACGGGTACGCAATTTACTACCACAAATCATAGTATGCAAGGCAT